GAAATCTTCAAAATGTTCTTGCTTCTAAAGACCGCGTCGTGAAAGGCGAAGATGGACTTAGACCATTCATGTTTTACAGAGTCGAGTGTTGCGAGCGGTGGAGCGGCAGGGGCTGGTTGCGCGGTGGCGTAGCGCGTCGTCTCCTGTTGCTAAAAGCTAGTAGACCGGGAACTAGGGACTAGGATGGTCAAGGGTGGTTACAGGGAGTCAACACAGCATCAGAAGGGGAAGTTGACATTATGAGAGGGGAGATATCCACCCCTTGGTGGTAAGTCAGTTGTGAGATGACATCGGACAACATAGGTTGTGAACGTATCCTCCGAAGGATTCAGCAAATACAAATTGCTGATAGCCTGTGTCTTCCATTTGGGCACAAGAGACGTGTTAGTGTTCTTTAGTGGCCAAAACGTAAACAGATCACAACCCTTACGAATACAGTATGAAGTAGTTAATACAGGAAAAGTGAGTCGTCGAAAAGAGGTTTAGACGCCATTTTATTTCTAACTGCAGAATATTGATGGTAATACATGTATTGCGCTTTTCCTAAAACAGCAGCCTCCTTCTAAATTTCTGGGACAATGACAGTGCAACTTTTGTACAGATTTTTACATACCATCGTAACGTTAATTTGTTATCGATACAGGAAGTGGAGACATTTACACGGTGACAATAAAGGATATTTTATTTGCTACGGATTCTGAACCCACGTATTAGTAACATACTTCCCATACAACGCATAAAACACAGCGACATTCATCTCCCTGCCAGGCGAAAATAATTTACACGTTTATGTGAAGTTTCATACATTCGTTTATATTTCTTGTCCCCCCCCCCCACCTTTCTGTGCCCGGCCAAAGCAGAAACTGATCTCGCTGATCCGTAGTGACAAACATTGTTTTAAAATGGAATTCTACACCTCGTGAAACACCGCAATTCATCGTGTTTCCTTTCGTGTCCACCGCCAAAGCAACAAGTGTAAACACAAGAATACAGAACCGTTCACATGCGACGTTTATATATATAAAAAAAAGTCGTAATCTTGAAAAATATTGGGCAAACACGATCACCGCATTTTAATGCAGTGTTCGCACTGCTGCCATGGCCCACACGGTGTTAGCAAGCGCGCTGATACTAGTGGTGGTGTACGCGGACAGCGGGAGACCGCCGAGTTCCGTCGAGTGCGAGTGTGTGAACGGAACGGCTGCATCGTGCAAGGTCAACAGCAGCAGCAGCAGTAATCACCCGACGACAACAACGTTCAGCCTCAACGCCTCAGACGTCATTGGGGTTCAGCTGCCCGGCGTCACAGGCCTCACCTTAAGGAACTGTCTCATTCGAGACTTGCACAGTGGACATTTTGCGAGCATGGACCAAGTGACAAGGCTAAACCTTTCATCTAACTTCATTAGAAACGTTCAACCAGGAGTCTTTACTCAAATAACTTCTTTAAAAGAGCTAAACCTCAGTTGTAACCTTATTTCCGATGTTAATAATCAGTGGCTAAAAGGTCTGGTGAATCTTCAGGTGTTAGACGTGTCTTCAAATAACATTTCGAATTTGGAAGAAGATGCATTTGCATGTCTCCCAACGCCACAGGGGGTTAGTCTCAATAGCAATCTGCGCATTCTCGACCTGTCGTTTAACAAAATATCGTTTTTAAACAACAGTGCATTCAGTGTCCTTCAAAGTCTCAGGCAGCTTAACTTGGCTGGAAACAATCTTGAAGCTCTAACGGGGCAATGTTTCAACGGACTAACCAGTCTCCTGCAACTGGACGTATCTGCAAACCACATTTCTTGCATAGACGACGGTGTCTTTAGGAAACTGAACAATGTCCAAAGACTTAATCTGAGCAGTAACAAGTTGGAAACACTCGGCGACCAATGCTTCTGTGGTCTCACTCACCTGCAGCAACTTGATGTGTCACGTAATCGTCAATGCTTCTGTGGTCTTACTCACTTGCAGCAACTTGATGTGTCACGTAATCGCATCTTCAGTTTGTCTCCTGGTACGTTCCAGTCAACGGGTGGTCTGGTGGAGCTGATACTGGCCGACAATCCGGTACTCGGCCATTTGCGGCAGGAACCCATGGTACTGGTGGGCACAGGCCGGAGACTGCAAACTGTAGACGTATCAAGATCTGGTCTCACTCAAGTTCCGGCCGCACTCACGAGATCCATCCGGACTTTAAAACTCCAGGAAAACATGATAGCCATCGTCCGGTGTGGGGATCTTGACAGCTACCCTCTCCTCCAGTTTCTTAATCTAGCTGATAATCAGATAGAAGAAATGGAAGAAGATGCCCTAGGAAGACTCGAATTGCTGTCCACTCTGTATCTGTCAGGTAACGGTCTTCTCACTGTACCACATAGCTTGCCATCAGGGCTCGTGATCCTCCATCTCCAACACAACTGCATCCAACAGCTAAACTCAGGTGACCTCCAAGGTCTTCCACGTCTCAAGTACTTGTCATTGCGTCACAATGACATAACAACCATTCAGAATGGTGTACTCAGTCAGCTAACAGCACTGGAGACATTGGATATATCTGAAAACCCTCTCAAAAGTCTTTCAGGGAATGCACTATCAGGACCACTAATGACTGTTCTTCGACTGTCGCATCTTGCTGAAATCACGTCTTCGGCATATCCTTCTACAGAGATGTCTTTCCCAGTCACGTCACCAGAGCGGTTAAAAGTTCTAGAACTTGATTCAAGCCCCGTTCTGGCCCAGCTGCTTCTTTCAGATACAGCTGCACTGGCAGCGTTTCGGCAACTTCGCGAGTTAAATCTCATTAACACTGGACTAACGAGAATCCGGTCAGACTTGTTCCATTTTCTACCGCGACTTCGCATACTCCGGTTAAATGGAAACCAGTGGGAATGCAAGGGCATGCTATGGCTAGCCAACTGGATACGTCAACAGCAAAAAGATCAGCAACAGCAACTGGAAACTTCCCTTCAGGATGCATACTGTGCTTCTCCCCCACACCTAACTTATACACCTGTCATCCATCTCCATGATGCAGACTTCAACAACAGCACTGATCCATCAGAGGAAAGCAACACTTACGAAGCTACTGTAGACGCCAGGTATGATGAATCACTTACAACAAAAATGTTTTCGATTCTCAGAATACGCAACACGCAGGTTCCGGATAACAAAATGCATCCCACTTCTGCACATCCTCTGGACAGCCAAACAGCACACAGGCCAATTACCAAACATGCTGCAGCTTCTACACAGTCCTCTGTCAGTAGCACTTCGTCTACCACGATTAAGAGAGTGGACATTCCGCCTGCTAATACATCAAATACTGCTTCTGCAATCAAATCTCAAAGTTCTTCCACGGGCAGTAATGCATTTACGATTTATTCCACTTCAAGGGAATCGAAGGAATCCGTACTCAATACAACAATTTATAAAGATGATCTAATTACTAATATACATTTTACTGATTCTTCAGTCGCAAACAATACGCCTGACTACGATGATGATTTTAAGACTGCGCAATATACAGATGTCACAACTTCTGGAACATTTCCTGTAGAGAAAGTACCCAACAACAGCATACTCCCACCTGACAAAAGTCGCATAATTGCTACTACACCTAGTTTAAAAACACGTATCGAAACATCAAACGACACTGTACGTGAAAAAAACAAACTTATTTCCACTAAGAAAAATTCTGTACAGAGAAATCAAAAATTATTCTACTATATGGAAAGTGCTACACAAAATCGAAGCACTTCTTCAAAAACTACAATCAAGGTGGTGAATACAAACTTAAAAAATACTGAAATTCTTAAGATATATGTCAATGCTCCATCAAACAGCACAGGAACTCTGTCCACAAATAAATCTTGGATACAACACAAATTCTTTCCTAACACAAAAAACAAAATGTTTCTTCCTAGTACTCAGCCACTTCAAACTGCTCACAGTAATTTTAACTTCTACAAAACTATTTCAAATTCTATTAAGCATGACGCAATACATAAACAAACATTCTCAAACAAACATAATTTCAAGAAAAATGAGGACAACACTTTCAATAATACTGTGGAAGGAGGCGAGTCTCTGAACATTGACAGTGAAGACAATACAACAACTGACAACAACACTCCTACACAGACAGGTCTTTTAAACAAAACTTTGGTAAAACAAACATTTAACATTTCAAATTTTACCAGCCAATACGCGGACAAACGCGCGCACAAAATGGAAATTAGCTACCACACATCAAACATGTCTACTAGCCATTCTGACTCACATTTCAAAACTCAGCTTAAAAGCCCCTTACGCAGTTCCGTTCAGTACTCTGTATACAGAAACCGTTCCACCGAGGTACCTATAGGCTTTCACACAAACAAGTACAATTCAGAGAATTTAGAAGAAACAGCATCAAAGCACAGCAATGCAACAAGTAGTGGTACGAACAACAGTGTAAACAATGAGACGCAAGGCAAAAGTAATAATGCTACAGAACAGTCATCGAACATAACCTCACCACCGCAAGGAGTTAATTTTGTGTTTGGAAATGTAACTCTTGCCACAGATGACAAATCTGTCTTTTACAGTAGCCATACTGACGATGACGCATTTCCTCCAGGTGCGCATGTAATGGCAAAAGAACACGCCCCAACATCTCTGACCTTCGGTTCACACCCCAGTATGTTTGTCTTGTTGGGTATAGGTCTCGTCATGGCAGGCGCTTTCGCTATGGCAATGTCACACTGCGCAAACCGCAGAAGATGGCAAGCTGTTGAATATAGTCAACAACAGGACATTGAGGTTAGGAGCATGTCAAGCATTGGCGACCTATGGTGACATTAAGGCAGACATTTGGGTGTAATCACTGGAGAACGGCAATATGTAATTGTTAGGAACTGTTCATAAAAATCACATGCAAATAAAAATTTTTCAGTGTCGCGAATACACAAGGAATTCAGGTGCGTCGATATATTATTTTTCGATGTACATTCCGCCTGCCCATTTTGATAAATGGACACTGAAAAACCGTCACCACTTCTTGGCCAGAGACGGTCAAAACTAACCATCAACACATTAATTAATTCATGATGCAATAATGCATTAGGTCCATTGCTTCTGACAGGCAGTAAGCTGAGATAAAATGTAGAGAAATTTTTAAAAACTCAATATAAAAATTCTCTAACACAAGTGTGAGATATCAGATTCTCACAGCGGTCAGTATGAAGATGACTGTCTTTTGGGATGCTGCACAGTGTAGCCCTGTAGAAACTGACCTATGAAACTACACATCAAAATATCCCAGGAGGCATTCAACTTAGCACATATTAATGCAAAGAATCTTGTAATGTCTGAATTCAAGAGCAATATGTAAACTGTTATTTTATAATAGCATTTGGGAAACATGTTTTGAATTATACTTCAATAAAGAATAATGTGTAGCTGGTTAGACATTTGAACAACCAGTAATTGGTCATAGCCATATAAAGAAAAAGTTACATTCCGAAGACTTTAATATTACACCGAGATAAAGTTCTCAAATCAGTACCAAGTGTTACAGAATCGACAGTCTAATGTTAAGCTACATTAAACATGTGAAGCAGTACAGTTCAGTACACAGACATTGCAACAGCAAGATTATCTTAACTGCTACATTATTGAAAAGAAGACATCAATCAAAATTAAAAAAAAATATATCCATGAGTCATTAAATTAACCGCATACATGCGAGGCAACCCACAAACTTAATAATGACTTACAACTGTTTCACAGCCTGACAGTAACAAAGGTCATTGCTATTTCAATATATCCACATCAAAAGAGGAATGCGTTAAAACGTACCTATAATAAAATAATTGTTATGTTATTTATCCCCCCGTCCTACATCTGCCTAGCTACATCACTCTGATGTGACTAAAATAATGACTCAATGTCACGATTTTTACTTCAATGACATGAAATTAATTTTCTGACACGAGTTCTGGGTACAGCCCACATTTCTAGTCCCACAAATTGTGCGTATGATAATGATTTAACAAAGAAATGCATGAGTTAGTGTTGTGGGCTTACCTGGGTCAGAATTATAAATACGCTACAGAATATCATAACTATTCTGGGGCCCATCACCACTACTACTAATTAGTAGTAACTCCTACTACTACTGCTACGGCTGCTGCTGTTATTGTCTCCATGTTTGTAATTGTTGATTTACAAACACTACTGATGTATGTTCATCATGAATCTCTATGCCATATTTCATATTCCTAACTGTAGTGGTTCATTAGTTATCATTCCCAAACTGAAAGTCAAAATAAATTTACAAGACTGTCGTGTTATAGGATTTCAGGTTCTCATGTTATTTTACACTATACAAAAAGAAAATGTATATTTTTTTAATATCTATTACTGTATTTCTCTTCAGGAACCTATGTTAAGTGCCACTAATGTCACAATTTGCACGATCAAACGATTGCAGAAAACCCAAATATGAGGCTGGGGTTAATTTGAGATGTGTAATGTTTTAACAATTATTTATTTTAATCCGTCTTATCACAATATTTAAAATTTCTTATAATTAAGATAATAAAATATCATTGATGCTCCATATCGATTGATCGATTTACATTTTATTTTTATTTTTATTTTATTGATACTTTCTAACTATAATTTATATATTTTGCATTTTATTCTCTAAATTCTTTTATAAATTCTTTCAAATTCTTTAGTGTTTCTTTCAATC